GTAAGAGCTAGTCAGGCTAAAGTACGGCCTCCACAGAGCGGGGTTAGTTCTTACACAATGTTACAACTAAAGCCGGGGTTACACTACGTGACCTTTACTTCGATTTAAGCCCCGATTCTCAGTCTGGCTGAGTCTCTGCTAGTTGGCTCTATAGTCTGCAGATTTTTGAGTCAGTCACAGCAGACAGTAGGAGAGAGAATCGGGTAGTGCACGAAGGGTGCAGACTCAGATTTTTGGCCTCCTGATTGCGTTTCAGACCAGTTGGAGTTTATCAAACGTGTTTGATTTTTTTCCGACCCGACTGAACGTAATCTGGTAGTGCATACTGGTCAACGACTCAATCTGAACAGACCAGCCAACAGCCAATGAAAACAGACTGCAAAAGAAGAAAATACAGCAAGTAAACGAAGAAAAATGGCGAAAAGTCGCTCATGTGTAGAGTGAAGCTTTTAAATGAGCTGAGTTTAAGGCACGAGCACAATCGATTTTATGTATGTTTAAAACGCTAAAAAAAACCACCATGATCATATTTTTAAATTCATGATCCTCACTTAAACATGTTTACCTGCTGCTTCTTTACTGTGTCAGCGCAAACGCCAGAGAAAAGAAGACAGCAGCAGCAGCGAGCTGCTCCATGTTTGTGTATTTGGGTCTCCTAGTAATGGGAGAATGTGCAAGTTTGCGAGAGTTTGTGTGAGTTTACGTGAGTTCAGTGACTTCTGTTCGGTTCAGTAACAGCTTAAAAGTTGTGTAGTGTTTGATCCCCAATATTTCAGTTGCCCAAAAAAAATCTGCAAAAACCAGTCAGATAGTGTGGTTTTAAAAGTCGTGTAGTGTACTCAAGGCTTAAGCCAGAAAGCATTGAGGCAAGTCCACATCCTCTCCAAAACTTAAAAGAATTTACCCTCTATTGCATGGTGTTGCCATATGGCAACAATTACTTTCTCAATTTTACTAAAAGGCAGTAATATAAAATCTATTTTACTGTTTTTAATTTTGGAAAAGTCTTTTACTTTGAAAGGACAAATATTTGATGACCAGAAAATCTTATTACGATGATACCATTACCATACATTCCAAATAACAATTGAAATTATATTAATTTAACTGTGTAAAAATTAGGATAAACTTGTTGCCATATGGCCCTTTAAAAAACGTATTTTTGAATATTTCCATTATTTAAGCAATTGTAAATAAAAACATTTTAAAATTAATATTTTAATTAATATTTCATGCAATAGAGGATTAATTTTGTGGAACTTTTCCACAAAATTAAAATTAACATTTATGTAAAATGTTATGCTGATATGTTATATTCAATATATTCAAGCACTACAGAATTCTCTTGAATTAAACTGTGTTTGCAGACGGTTCTAGCAAATGTCACAATTAGCCACACAGTCTGTTACAATTAACAACAGCTATGGGGTAAGCTGCAACATGTCTACTAACAAATGTTCCCAAATGGTAGGTGTTCAAAAAAGGTGTCCAGCTGTTTCTTTAAAAAACAATCTAGCTCAAATATTTTTTATATTAGTGAGTTTAAAAACAAAATGTGGTAGGCAGTGTTCTGGTGTCCCCTACTGCAACTGTAGTGAGTACATGTGTATTGCATCATCACTAACTTTACACAAGCTAAGGTTATGACAGAAGCCACCGCGTCAGGAAGTCACGACAAACGTTAATATCAGGCACTGTTTGAAGCCAAAGAGTAAAGATTTAACAATTTACACTTACTTAAAGTTTACTCATTCTTCATCTATTTTAAAGCAGACTTAAGAGCACTACTGACTCTAAAAAGTACCATGTTTACTCATAAATATAAATTTGATATGCATCCCCCACCATTGCATCGAATTTTGATACTTAATTCATTCAGCCACTAACTGAAGTATTCTTGGTGAACGGAGCAGATCAAGAACATTCCCAAATATTTTGACTGTAAGAAACACTAAACAAATGGGTGAATTTTTCAGAACAAATCCTTTTTGTTGAGTCACATTATTTGCACATTTAAAAAGAAAGGTAACGCTCAACAATACAACGGAAGGACTGCTTATGGCAATACAACACTTTCTCAAGAAGAAAAAGATTCCTTAAAAGCAGTGTTCCCTAAATCTTCTCCTGGAGACATACTGCTCTACAGTTTAAATCCGCACAGTAAAAAAGAGTAAAGTGTCTGTATCCATTCCCTACCAACAGGAGACACTGCAGGGAGCAGAAGCTACAGACTGGCTGCAGCGTGTCTGGGGCTGCTGTGTGTTCTCCTGCTGACTGCCATCATAGTGCTGTGGATCAATTTCAACAACCTGACTACAGAGAGACAAGTTACAGACCAGTAACACCAACCTGACTATACAGAGAGACCAGTTACAGACCAGTAACACCAACCTGACTAAAGTGAATGAGCAGTTACAGAAACAAAGAGATAAACTTCAGGAGAGGCTTTGTCAACTGAGTAAGTTATTATTTATAAACTGTCACATATCTTCTGTAGAACTACCAGAGTTTGACTTAATTATTCCATTTGTTTAGTTTAAAGCACAAAAATATTTTTATTTACTTCCTACAGTAAAAGATTTTAATAATTATACTGCCACTTGAAAGCTCTTAAAAAGTAATCAGTAAGGTGTAGTTTAAACTAACCACATTTATATGCAAACAACAGCCCAACTACATTGCAAGTCAAGCTAAGAAACAGGGGTGTGCATTCTGACTAATTTTAAATATGTGAGTCTCCCTGAGGGACAATAAACAAATAATCAGTTGACCATGTAGAAGAAAAAACTAACAAACAAACAAACAAAAAAACATTCAAGCTAATGTGGTAAAACTACAGCTAACTGGTGCAACACAGGATGTTAATGAGGACTCGATTTCATCTCACAGGTGGAAATGTGCCAACATGTTAGTTAATCAGAGAAATATGTTTTCACTGTTTCTGAACCGAACGTCAGCTAGAGCAGTGTTTCTCAACCCTGGTCTTAGAGGCCCACTGCCCTGCGTATGTTAGTGTTTTACCTGCTTTAACGTGCTCACTTTAACTCAATAAAGGGTAATGAGCTGATTTGTTGGATCAGCTCTGTAGGGATCAAGGAAAACATGCAGAGCAGTGGGACTTCAGAACCAGGACTGGAAAACACTAAGCTAGTGCTTCTAGTTAACCTACTTAGTGCTAAAGCCACACCAGAGCTGTCTGTGCTATCTCTGTCTTCTCTGTCACGTCCATAATATCACATCCTTGGCAACATGCTAATGCTAAGGCACGTGTATTTCATAGTAGCAAAGTGCAATGTAACACATTCTTTTACATGCAAATACCTATTTGGCCAATAACAGCCTAGACCACATGTTTTAGTCATGCTAACCTCAGACTGACAGATTTTTGGGGTTAATGCTGATCGAACTGAGCTGTTTACATAATCACAGCTTATCACATTAGTTTTAGACTAATATTGAACATTTGGGGTGCATATAAATGTTATCAATGACTAACTGCTAGTAAGGCAAAAGGGTCTATTTCACACCAGATGCTGTATATCTGTATGCTGTTGATCTGTTTAACACAGTTAACTCAAATTAAATAACAAAGGTTATTCAAGCAACCCGTGCAATAAATACATCTGCAGCTTGCCCTAATAACATGTCACTTACAGAAATACTAGGAATCAGTGACCTCTAAAAACAAACCATTTCAAAACATAAGAAGAGGCAGACAGCTCAATGGGCAGTGTGAATTCAATACTGACCATAAAGGTGAAAGTAGAGCTGAAGGGTATTTATTTCTAGGATAGTCGGCACTGAGTAGATATATATGCATGATAAATTTATGAATGGTTCACTGAGAAATCAGGTATAGTCAAATCACCAACACGTTTGGTTTTTTGAAGTTTACCTCTTAGGTTTGCACTGAGGCTACAGGGGTAATGTAGCTAACAAGTAATGAGAGTCACCCAGCATTTTTAATGTAAGGGGTGAATTTGAAAGTTTAAAAATTAGATCTTTCAGTAAACCACTCCTTTAAAAGCAGAATACATACAGACCTTGTCATCGTGTAAACAGTGAGATCACTGAGGCTTTAATTTTAGTAGTGTGCTGATGGGACCAAGAATCTGTCATCTGCTGACATCAAATCTGCCAAATATATTGTGGCATGTTCAGGAAAAGTTAAGGGTTCTCTAGCATTTACAGCACTTGGTTCATTTTGCTATGGGCTCTTATTGTATTGTACTGTACGAACCATCCTGAGGGTGTATGTCTATATGTATGTGTGTGAGCTGCAAGAGAGAGGAAAGTAGAGAGACATGAGATGAGTCAGAGAGCGAGCGGTTAGAGAAAACTTTGCGCATGTATGGTGTGGCTGACAACAGCTGGAAAATAATGCACCACCACTTCAAAAGTAGTGTCTCTTAATAGCAGTGAATGCTACAACATATACAGACTACAGATTTAAACTAACAGATGGTAGAGCATACAGACAATTACAGAATACAAGAACAGAAGAGCCAAGAGAGCTCATGGTCCATGTAGTGCTTTACTGTATCACTTAGTTTTTTAAACATTTTTGTTTAAAGGTAGAATTTTTAAACATTTCGGAATAATTAATCTGTAATCCGATATAAACAAAGTCACTCAGAGCATTTTGATATGAAATGGTTTACTGTACACAAACATACAGAATTGGATTTCTTTACAGTGGCAGTGATAGAAACCAGGGGTCACAATATGTACAACACAAACACAGCCATTTTAATTACTATTCAGTATGACCAATGAACATAAACAAGTTTATCAAAAACACTGATAATGCAATGAGGAAAACCATTCTGAGTTTTTAAATGTATTCGATATTAAAATGGTGGTAAATGTAAGGGAAAAAATGTTTTCTTTTTGTACTGTTTCGCCTGTTTGTACTGTTTCTCTAGAATGGAGCATTTCACAGCAAACCACTCTAAATAATTTTATTTACCTCATAACTGAACTATGCAGAAATTCTGAAGAATCATTTGAATTCCCCTTTAACTGAGCTGACCTATTAATGCATGATTTTCTCCATGAAAAGAGAAAAGCATGAGAGAGAGAGAGTAGGCACAGGGGTGAGAGAGAGAGTAGGCACAGGGGTGTTTCAGAGACAGTGTCTACTACATCTCTACTGAGAAGAAGAGCTGGAGCGAGAGCAGACAGGACTGCAAAAGAAAAGGAGCAGACCTGGTGATCATAAACAGCAGAGAAGAACAGGTAAGAGAGAGAGAGAGAGAGAGAGAGAGAGAGAGAGAGAGAGAGAGACTGTTTCAACTGTGTGTATTTACATACTTTCATACTGTACCGTGTCAGAAGTTCATCAGTACAATATTACGCAGCAGTGAAGCTTGGATTGGTCTGATGGACAAAGAGAAACAAGGGGTCTGGAAATGGGTGGACAACTCAGCACTGACCACTAAGTAAGAGACCACTAAAGTGAACTCTGTTCATGATACAGTTATTCACTCTCTTTAAGAAGGTCTAGAGGTGTAATAGTGAAGATAATCTGATTCTCTGTGTTTCAGGTTCTGGTGGAAGGGGGAACCAAATGATTATAATAGAAATGACGACTGTGCTGTAACTGGCTATGAAGCTGATGGATCTGAATGTGTATCAACCTGGGCTGATGTTCCCTGTAATAACCTTGTAGTTGGACTCTGTGAGAAAAGTTTAGTTGAATTTTAATTTAGTCTACATAACAGAGAAGAGTAAAGACTGATTTAATATATATTTAAAATATCAACGTGTATGAAGTGTAAACTGCATGTACATGTCATATATTCCTCTCTGCATTACCAATGTTTGTAATAGGATGTGTATTTAAATGCAGAGACAATATTAAGCATTTTTATTCTCCAGTTTTACTTCTGGTGAAAACTCACACACACACACACACACACACACACACACACATACACACACACAGTCTGCAGCAGCTTAGACCTCCTTTCTACACACTCTGTACCTTGCATGCTTTTTTAGCATTAACTAAATTAAATCTTTCACATATTAAATAATATAATATTCATTTTTGAAAGCTATTTCATCTCTTTTTGTGACTCCAATGTGCATTTAGGAACTCTGGTTCTGGTTTAGGCAGAAGCAGTTTAAGGGGGGGCCTGGCTACTTTCTGTTTCTCGCATTACCATTTCGCACCAGCGAACGAGTCTTGAATGAGTGGGAGTGAATGAAGACAAAATCATCACGTTTATAGCCATTTATGCAGGAACTTCCTTTAATTATGGAAAGCAGACAGACATAATCCATTAAAACATCCAAGGAAACTTATCAATAACTTTCCGTTTTTCTACACTAAACAGGTTTTGATCAGTAGCACACTAGTATTACTGCTAATACTACTGAGTGTTGATTGGCTGGTGAGCTGAATAGCCGGCTGAGTAAAGCAGTTCACACTCATTGACATCACAATTATACATAAGGCACTGTTAAAACAGAACAATGGAGTTCAAAAGTGCTAAAGCATATCAGCTTATCAGCTATGTTAAAGTATTTTATGCTCTTCTGTTTTGAGAAAAGAAGCATTTTCTGTAAGTATTTACAAACTACTATTTTGCACAAAAGCTCCATAGGAACATTTTGGCCCTCTAGCATTTGACAAACCTGAAAGACACTGAGTGGCAATTCTCCTCACTGGAATTTCTCTAGTGTGGGTTTATAACTGTTTTCCCTATTTAAATGATGCCCACAAAAATGACTTGCATGCTAATAGACTCCCCGCGCCCCTTGCAGAGAAACTTCAGACTATATGTACACAAGTACACGAGCCATGTTCACATACTTTACATATTAAAAAATGTGTTTCCATCATTACAGCAGACTTGCTCTTAAATAGAACATTATGTATATGTATTTAGCATCTGTTTAAAATTAAATTAGTCCATTCTAGTTCCCTGCCAGTTCTCTTTTTCCAACACAGCAATTATCACTGGAGCCATTGGAGCATCATCGTCTTTCTTTTGCCAAGGTCTAACTGGCAGGCAACAGCCTCAGAAACAGTGTCAGTCATACAGTAGCCTGTTTGTTGGTCATATAGCTAGTATTGTTCATGTAGCTTTTTTTAATCAAATAACTGATAACTTGCTTGCTGTTACCATGGCAAAATTAGACACTAAGCACAATGCTGCTGTTAATAACTGACACAGGGAAAACACTTTACTGAGTACTGATCATTTCTATGCTAACTGGGAACTGCTAAAATTAGTACTAACTAAAACAGATATCACTAGATCTATGAGAAACATGCAAAATAAAAATTTAGCTTTTACATTTGTAAAAAACTTAAAAACTCAACTGTGCTCTTGGTGACACAGTAGACCAAAAGGGAAAAGGACATAGGAGACATCAGAACAGTTTGCAAAAGCACAGTACACTGTAAAAACTGAAATAGGGCAGGGGTTGATCTGAAATGGTGAAATTACTTTTGTTCATCTTTACAAACATTTTGCATTGTATTGTATCATTCAAAGTATTTTCTGAGTTGAATAAAATCAGTTAAATTGCCTTTTCTACATAAAGTACTATCCGTAAGTTGAGTGGACAAATCATTTTTACAGTGTATGACAGTCATGTTTGGTAGACAGATAAGACATTTCTCACTTACAAATGTGGAAGAGCAAAAAAGCCAACAAAGAGCCTGAAGACTTCAAAAATAAACATGAAGGTCTTTTACTAGCAAAGATGGATCTATGGTCCAGAGGTATCAACCAATCAGCAAGCTAGTAGTTAATATACATAGTTTGTGTATATTCATGTCCTATGTAAAGTTTACAGACTGGGAGATAACAGCTCACAGAGATGGAGAACTAACCCAGGCCATTGTGGCCAGTGCCCAGGGCCCACTGACTGCGACAAAAAAACAGTTCTTCTTTTGTTACAATGTCAAGCTTATAAAAAAGAATTGTCATTTCTACACAGGGAATTTGGAAATAATTTCAAGTGAATAAGACCGAATGTAAACCATGAAGAATGTACTTCAGAAATATTATCTGTCCCAGGGCAGACTCACTTCCTTACTGCCCTCTAGTGGCATCCTAGTGCCACTCAAATCTTAAATTCATTATGTATCAAAGTGTTTGTTTTGTTTTTCCTGTCAGTGGTGAGTAGTTATAACTAGTTAAATTTACTGAGTTACATGTACAAACACATGGATTTGACAGATTAATACCTTTCATTGTATTTTCAATGAATTCTTCACGTATACTTGTAAGGAAAGGAGTCTACTTTTTACTCAGTCTCATTTACTCATTTATATTTCAAGCTCTGTGTCAAACCTGTGCTGGTAAATGCTTCAAGTATGCATTAGTGCTGTAACGTCTGACCTCTTTTTTATAATCCTAGTCTTTTTTCATTTTTGGTTACTTTTACTTTTTCTCATCTTCTACACTTCTACTGAGTCATCATTTCATAGTTAATTAATTATTCTCTACCCACCTCTGTCTCCTACTATTTCGAGAGATGTCTCAGAGTGTTTATGAAGATCTGAAGAACTGCTTAGGGAAGCTGAAGAGAAGAAATAGAGGACTTTGTGGTGGTTGTCTAGGAGTGCACCGATACTGTTAAAGGCCATGACTTCAACACAGAGAATGAGTACGTCAGCACAAGAAAGAACCTTCAAATTCACCACCCAGGTATTATTAGTGTACTCTATCTAAAATTCTCATTTTAAATATCCATCTACTTGGTCTTCCTCACTTCAGCAAAAGTTGGGGTCAATTACCAGAAGAACAGATGTTAGTGTTTCTTGGAAAATTATCATTCACCAAATATCAAACACAGTATTGTTTCACATTCTTAAAAAATGTGTTCTTTTGAATCTTTGGGTAAACAAACTGCTTTGATTCACCTCAGATTCATTTTGTTCAGCTAGCTTGCTTAGCTAAAGGCAATAACGTACAATAACACATGATGTTCAATAACACGGGACGAACATTAAGGATTTTTTTTGTGTAGGTAAAGAATGTTTAATACTGACTTTTAAAATAAAGTCTGTTTTAAAGTGCACACACCTGATTCAACTCATTAACCAATTAACAAGCTCCTTGTTTGCTGGGTCAGGTGTGTAGAAAAACCACAAACATGTGCAGAGTTTCACCAGGACCTGGTTGGGAACCCCTCATCTGCAGCACCGGCACCCGTGTTTATTTATTTATTTATTTTTGTCTTGGACAACCTAAGTGCAATGTTTGTAGTAAGCTGGTATAAATTTAAGTACACAGCCATGAAATCTCCATCTTCTGCCTAAAAGCAGAAATCCAGGTATTATGAGAAAGTTCCTTTTTACACTTACCTAAAAAAATGGTGTTCTAGAGGATGTTTGGTTTCCAAACAAAACTTAAAAACTACATACATAAGAGTAGTAATAAAATAATTCTTGTTTCAGTTTAAATAAAGCAAGTATAATGCTTCTTTTAAATGAAATAGATTTTTGTTCTAATTCAATCGAATTTCTAACAATTTAACACATTTTCAAATAAATAAAGCTAACTAATGACAATGACTACCACAAGCTGTCTTAAATTATTCACATTTATAACTGGCTAATTTGTGTATTACATCATCGCAACTTGCACTGCATGCCTGACCTGCTCCAGGGCAAAAAGCATTAAGATGGCAGCAGTACAGCATTGCTTTTTACCGTAAATGCTGTACTTTCTACATATTTATGTAGTATGAATTCTTTTTCCCTCTATAATCAGCCACTCAATTCCTCCTCATGTTTTACAAGACTGGCTATTCAGAATAAACCTCATGCTTTCATGTGCACACGCAAAAGGATTAATTGCAGCACGAGTCTCTAATTCTGGATTAACAGAGAAAGTTGCTGACCGTCATTGTAAAATGAGTTAACTGCAGCTGTGTTTGTTTGGTTTCAGAAGCTGAAACTTGAAGGGTTATCAATTGTACATTTTAGAAAGCAACATCATGTGAATCAAATTAATGTAGCTCAAAGTATCTGTATTCACATACCTGCATGAAATATGTTTCTGGCCTTCACTCCAAACATGCTAAACTTTAACCCTTACACAAAGCAATAAAAAAGTGTCAAACTACATTTATGACCAAGCAAATACATGAATGTGAATATATATGACACGTCACTGTCCTTTTATTTATGTCAAGTGACAGAGCTGTGCTGTGGTTCATAGGGCTACAGAGAAAAGGTTGTGTCTGTGTGGCCATGAAGCCGTCAGTCAACTTCAAATCAAAACATCGGGTAATTTTTTTGTGTCACAGAAGCTTGTAGAACTGATAGAACACAAAGGGCAAAAAAGTATTGGATGTGTAACTTGAAATGTCTTGAAATGTCTATTTGACTACAATTACATGACCGTGCACAGGGTTTAAAAACTGTCATCTGCTAGAGGGGGCCGGAGACACAAGATAAGCATTAGATGTTTAAACAACATAGTTTGAGCTCAACTGTGCGTCACCTTGCTGGTTGACGAGAATGGCTGGTTATACTCAGGGGAGAAGCTGAGAACAGAGCAATCAGGCTGGAGAGTTTTGTCAGCAGGCAGCTCTTCTGCAATTCACATATTAAATGTAATGTTTCCTGTTTCTTAAACACTTCTTAACAAATAGGTTTAAACGTTACGACAAAATAATAGCCAGAAACACACTACATAATTTAACAGGTCAGTTCAGTACACTTGTTTATGTATTACTGATTGATTGATTGATTTAACCTTTAAAGTCATTAAGACATTTATTTATTATTTACAAAACTAATTTACAGTGACACCCTGACAAACAGCAGACCCACTTGAGAAAAAGAGAAATATGAGAGAGGGATAAAATAACAACAAAGCAACACAAACCAAATGAGACATCTGTCCAGTTGACAACATAAAAATGACAACAACCAAAATGTAT